GCTTTCCCATTGGTCACCTCATCCGCTTGAGAGCATGCTTTCCCATTGGTCACCTCATCCGCTTGAGAGCATGCTTTCCCATTGGTCACCTCATCTGCTTGAGAGCATGCTTTCCCATTGGTCACCTGGCTTCCTCCTGAGCACCTGCACATTTATGGAAAGGATGAAATGTGGTAAAGTGTATTAAAGCTGTCAGTATACAATAAATGTCTAATAGATACATGATTAACATTATAATTTTAATCTCAAAATAAAATATTTACTAAGTGGTTAAAGTTATGGTAGATTTTGACTTTTTAGATATATTCTATTTAAAATTTGTGTTCAAATACGTGGCTTATCTTAGATATTTTTTTGTTTTCTATGGAATTCTATCCTGTCTGATCTCTTCCAATTTTCTTTCTTTTCTGTCTTTCTTTTTTTTGAGATAGAGTGTCACTTTTTCACCCTTGGTAGAGTGCCATGGTGTCATAGTGCATAGCAACCTCAAACTTGGTGCTCAAGTGATTCTCTTGCTTTAGCCTCCCAAGTAGCTAGGACTACAGGTGCTTGCCACAACACCTGGCTATTTTTAGAGACAGTCTCGCTCTGGCTCAGGCTAGTCTCTGACATGTGAGCTTAGACAATCTACTAGCCTTGGCCTCTCAAAGTGCTGGGATTAGAGGCATGAGCCACCATGCCCAGCCAGGTCTCTTCTCATTTTCTCCCTTACTCATATTTGTTCATGTAATACCACTTAGTTATGTATCTAATAATGACAACTATGTATACTTAATATTTATTGCATACTAAGAATGGGCTAGGGATTTTTCATGTAATTCAAATGTCACAGTCACAGCTCCTAATCTTATCTACTCATTTAAACACGTTACCTTGTGACTATTAATGCTACACATGTGCCTTGGTCTCACGGTGCTAAATGTATACCAAAATATCATAGAATAGCTGGATTAAACAACAGACATTTATTCCTCACAGTCTGGAGGCTGGGAAGTCCAAGGTCAAGGTGATTTCAGATTTGGTGATCAATCAGAGCCCTGTTACCAGATTGTAGACAGCTTTTTTTTCACGGTGTCCTCACATGGTAGGGAGAGAGAGAGCTCTGGAGTCTCTTCCTGTTATTACAGGTGCACTAATTCCATGCTGGGTCTCTACCTTATGACCTCCTGTATACTTGACTCTCAACAGCCCCACTTCCTAATGCCATCATTCTGGGAGTTAAGGCTTTAATATGTGAACCGGGTTGGGACACACATATTCAGTACCTAACATTTGGCTCTAGATCCCCCAAGATTCATGTTCTTCTTCTGTAATAAATGAATTCATTCCATCCCAATAGTCCAAGAGGTTCAGCACTTCTCAACCTGTGGGTCTCAACCCCTTTGTAACAGTGAAATACATCATAGCATTGGGAAGGTTGAGAACCACTCTCCTAACTCATTGTAGCATCAGCTTTAAAGTCTAAAGTTAAAAGTCTCACCTAAATATTATCTAAATTGTATATGGGTGAGACTTAAAGGTGTTTTTTATCCAGAAGCAAATTTCTTTTTATCTGTGAATCTGTGAAATAAAATATGTTATGTGTCTCCAAAAATATAATGGTGGGACAGGCATAGGATAGGCATTCTCATTCCAAAAGAAAGAAATTAGAAGGTCCCAAGCAAGCAAAATCTAGCAAGGAAAATACTATAAATACCATTATATCTAAAATTTTAAGAAGAATCTTCTGGTTTGATAGCTGTCTGAGAGTATCATTGAATAGTCAGGATGGGGGACATGGAGCACAGGACTAACCAAAGAGGAAAAGAAGTTATTGACATATGTTATGAAAAGAGAAATAGCTTTTAATTTTGATTTCTTTTTTCTTTATTTTACTCTACAGAATTTACAGAACATCTATGATGTCCTCAAGTGGGTATTTACTATTTTCCCTCAGTTCTGCCTGGGTCAAGGACTGATAGAACTCTGTTATAATCAGATCAAATATGACCTGACACACAACTTCGGCATTGATTCCTATGTGAGTCCCTTTGAGATGAAGTTCCTGGGCTGGATCTTTGTAGAATTGACCTTACAGGGCACAGTTCTTCTCCTTCTGAGGATTCTGCTGCACTGGGACCTTCTGCAGTGGCCAAGGTATGTTCTGAGGGCTCCTCTTCAAATGGCACTGGCTCATGAATAAAGAGAGAGAGAGAAAAATACCTCCTGCAGCCTGTTAGATAAGAAACCCGTCTGCAGCCTGGTGCAGTGGCTCTTCTGTAATCCTAGCACTCTGAGAGTTCAAGGCAGAAGGACTGCCTGAGGTCAGGAGTTCAAGACCAACTTGAGCAAGAGCAAGACCCCATCTCTACTAAAAATAGAAAAAACTAGCTGGGCATTATGGCAAGTGCCTTTAGTTCCCCCAACTGGGGAGGCTGAGGCAAGAGGATTACTTGAGCCCAGGAGTTTGAGGTTGCTATGAGCTATAATACTGCGGTGCTCTAGCCTGGGTGGCACAGTGAGACTTTGTATCAAAAAAAGAAAAAAGAAAGAAAGAAAAGAAAAGAAATGAGTCTGATCAGTGTTCTACCTGGTTCTAATGAGATTTTACTATTTTCTTCAGTTTTGATTGGTGTGAGTCACCAACACTAGGAAGGAGATTTCAGAGGATAAGGTACCAGCCCATTAGATCATCTTTTCAGTTATTTTGTTGTCTCAGTATATTTTTTACTTTGAAATTGCTCAATTTCCCCATTACCCTGTAGCACTTAAGATGAATTTGGTTGATACCATAAAATAATTTATTTTTGGAATTCAGTGAATTAGACTGAATTCAGACTGAATCCCAGTGACTCCTGCAAGCATGAAGCTTGCAGGGAAAACTCAGGGCAGATAACCATGTGCCCTCCCTCTGCCGTGTCCTGTTGCTTCTTGCTGCCATGTTCTCATCTATGTTAGGTGAGGACCCAGTCAATGGCGCAAGAGGTACGTGTAGACGTATGGATACACAATGTGGCCAGTATACCTGCACAGACACACACACGCCCCCACTACTGGAAACAGGATGTAAGGTGGCTTTGCAAGGATGTGTGAATAGTGTCACATAACACATTTGAAATGCACGAGGGAGAAATGTGCTTTCTCAGGAGAGTCCACAGTGGTGTGCTCCTCCCCTGTGACCCTAGTGGCCTAACCTGTAATCCAGTGACCTGCTCTTCCTGAGGGTTGTAGATTTCCCTCTGACTTCTACTTAAGGAAAGCCTCCTTATGGAGAAATTACTAAAAATTACTAATCAATAGCATGCCATTGGAGAACCTACTGAACATAATAAAGACGTATGATTAATGTTTCATGCTGAGTCTCATAATAGATTACTTTCCTTTCACCCATTTCATAATGCATTTCCTCACCTAAACCTGTTTAAGCTGCCAAAGTAGAGAATCTGGAATATAAATCCAAATATTCTTTTTGATTGACCACAGTCATTACTTTGGAATCTGCAGATTTCCAATTGCTAGCCAAATGTGGCATAGAATTCTGAGTGTCTTTCAAACATAATCAGTCCTCTGATGTCCCTTACTAATTTACTCTATTTTAAAACCTATAATGTAGGATCCCTTCTGGCAGATTTTAGGGTGCTCCATTCTCCTATAGAATGAAAGACATTTCTTTAAAAAGGAGCCTTTCTGTGTTATCTCTACTTTGTAGAATGAAAATATAAGTTGAACCGTATTTTTAAATAATATCTTTACTATACAGAGTAAAGAGGCAATTTTTATTGTTGTTTTTTCTATGTGAAGGTTATAGAGCACATACATTTAAGCTTATTTAGACACTAATTGCCTATTATTCTATGGACCACTGTTACAATGACTGTATGAACATCAATTTACTTTTTATATTCAGCTCTAACCAGGTCACTAATTGTTTAAAAGGTCAAGTCCAAGGTTCTTAGTAAGGCCCCTGCTCATCTGGTGTCTCCTGCTCAGTAGAGCTATCTGTGGTCTTTCTCCCACTCCCACAGAGATATTTGCCTCTGATCACCTCTGTTCCACTGAATTCTCAACATTTATCACCTCCTTTTGTCCCTGCTGTGCCTCCTGGGCTGGTCTGATGCCCTCTCAGTGTTTTCATTACATCCTCTGCCTTTATTGACACATTTATAGTGTGTTATAATATTTATTTATATGCTAATCATCTCTGCTTGACTGTAAGTTCCTCATGCAGGAAAATTATGCTTTTCGTAGTTAAACCTTGGAAAAGAATAGAAAACCCTGCCTTGTGTGTCTGGGGATGGATGGATCCTGCCTACCGTACTGGGCAGGGCCCTGTCACTGGCACTTGCCGAGTGCTAGTGAGCCTGCTTTATTTCTGTCCTTCCCTGACTGTGCTGACTCCTGTCCTACAGTCCTGTGTCCTGCGGTCTTGGCTTTCTTTTAAGAACACTGGTCTCCATTTGTACCTGAGGCCTTATTCTGTCTCCTGTCTGGAGATGAACTTTGCTCTCTGGGCCCTGGGTGCTGGCTGTGTTGGAGCAGCCATCTGGTGCAAAAATTAGCTACGTAGCTGTCTGGAGAGTTCTGCTCCATGCAGGGCCCATCTGGACTCTTTCTCTCTAGCACAGACATGATTGTTTGTGATTATCAGTAGGAAGGTATTTTTTGTGGCACATTTCTGGGCACAGTTCCATGAATATATTAGGAGATGGGATTGTGGTGAGGGGGATGGACCAGCTGTAACCTCTGTCTCTTGTTCCCCCCTACACTAGAATGGCTTGAGATTGAGACAAGAGTGCACACCTGGGCCTTCCCCAGGACCCTGTATAGGAAGCCCTGGGCAGGAGACCCAGGAGCTATTTTTAAAACTCGCCAGGCAATTCTCATAGGGAGAAGACGGGAACACTGCCCTGGCTCACTGTGTCTCTGTGGACCTGGGAGACGGGTGAGAACACAGGTAGCCTGCTTCCTGCTAAAGCAAGAAAGACCTCAGGAATACCAGGACACAGAGGAGTTGAGAACCACACCCTCATCTGGGAAAGTGAAATAACATTCATGCAGAAAACTGTGAAATTAAATGAATTTTAACAAACCGAACACATTCATGTAACCCCTCTCATTAATAAATTGAATGCTCTCAACACATCTGATGGCCCCTGGGCAGTAACTACCCTGTAAGGAAATTGCAGTTCTTTTTATCTCCATTGATTCATTTCATTTTTTATGCTTTTAAATGTTATATAAATGATGTCATATAATACAGTTCCTGAGAATTTGTCTATATGTTCTATGTGGAATAAATTACATATTTGTCAAATGGTGATTTCAGGTATAGAAAATTATACAGGAAGGAAAAAAGTATGAGAAGGAGCCTGGGAGCTGGCGAGGGATATTTAGTACCTTTGATATAGTTTAAGAATCATGAGAAGCTGCAAAATAAGTACAAAAGTTCCAATCTACCTTTCACCCAGCTTTTCCCAATGATAATGTGCTTATTGATATTACAGAGCAGTGTCCCACTGTCCAAACCAGGTAACTGATTTGGTTATAATCTAACCGAGCAGCCTGTGGAATCATTAAAATATAATCATTAAGTATATTTTAAATGATTAAACATAATTGTTAAAATGTTGGGAGATTACAGTTGACAGAGGAAAATGAAATTTAGTTGAAAATTAAAATGCACTGGATTAAAAATCATAAGGAAGATTAAAAAGAAGCAGTACAGATTTAGAATAAATAAGTTACAAGTGAAAAATTTGTATTAATTTGATAAATACTTACTGAACAGTTTTTCCAAATTACTGGCTATACACTACTTTTATAGGATGGTTCAACACAAACTATAAACTTATAATGTTTGGCTACTTTTACATACAATTTACTTTATTAAATGACTTGTTTACTAAAGGCACTTGAACAACTGGATGCCTTGTCATAATTTTGTGATAAATTCTTTTTACAGTTAGCACAAAAGTCTGGCCTGACTTTATTATTCATAAAATTAAAAGTTTTACTTTAGTGTGAATCCACTTCAGTATGTTTTGGCAAATGTATATTTTCTTAATCTAAAAAAATCGACTTTTGCTCATAATCAGGATGGCAGGACTTGGGTGCTCTGGACACAACTGACACTGCAGAGCGCTGGCAGTAGTTTCTTCTGTTTTTACAGATTGCTGACCTTTCTCTCTGGTAGCTATTCCAGTATAACTCTCAACGTCTGAGTTAACTCTGACTTTATCTCCCCAGGCGTCGCTCTGCCCTCCAAGGCATCGTCAAATCTTCTAAGGATATAGATGTTGAAAAAGAGCGAATGAGGGTGTTTGAAGGAAGGACGGGTGGAGACATCCTTGTGTTACACAACCTTAGTAAAAGCTATCAAAGCTTTTTCCAGAAGATCACTGCTGTGCAAGATATTAGTTTGGGCATCCCGAAAGGAGAGGTAACGGAGCTTCTGTTTTTACCCTCTTCAGTTGCAAACTCGCGCAACTCTAATTGCTGCTCTGCTTGTGTTATTCTCAGAATATCTGAAATCAGAACCAAAACAACCTTTAATTTCAGGCATTCCCACAAAATCAATGGAAGCAGAACTTCAATACAGGGACATTGGCTTTTAACACAGTAAAAAGTTTGCTGATGGATTGACAATTTACTTTGCTTCATAATTTTTAAAATGTCTTCCAATTGGGGAATTTTAATTACTGTTTGGACTGCGAGATGACTTTTTATTGAGTGCAAATATTGTATTAATCCACTTAGTGAAGGAAACCACTTTACATCTATTGACCTGCAGTGTTCTTTAAATGTCCAGTTAAGCCAATCTGGTGACACGCCACCCTAGCCAGGTAAGGGGCACCCACAGCGTGGCAGTCACTTAGGAATGTTTTCATGGATGTGACATTACATCTAGCAGCAACGTTTAATCAGAACTGACAGAAACCATTTAAATGGTCCTGATTTGTTCTCAATGCATAAAGGGAAATCTGCTCTGGGAATGATTACCTTTAATGAACTGTTAAAAATAAAAGAGCACCTTGCATTCGCATTGTTCCAAGTGCCTGAGAAACTCCGAGCGGGTCATATCGTTACCTGATTGGTATCTGCGTTCCGCTTGTGAGCTGAGAGCAGGCATTTCAAATGCCAGCGTTCTGAGTTAGAGCAAAGCCAAGAGCTGGATCTGAAGGAGTACAGAGAAGTGTCCTCACTCCCTGGGTTTCACGTCTAGCAGAACAGAACAAAATGGAAGGCAGGGTTTTGTTTTTGTTTTTTTTTTGTAGTTGTTGTTTGCTACTGCTCTAAGACCGGCTATGCAGTCTCACCCATCACATTGAACTGTTTCTACCCTTGACTGAAAAATCTATATTTTCAACAGTTTTGCCATTACCACTCCATGGCAGTTGTAAGCAAAGGGATGCAGGGGCTAAAGGGAAACTTCTTTGCCTCCTGAAGCTTTGCTGAAAATTGCCGAAAAAGGGAGCTTAACAGGAAGAAGGCATCCAAATGTATTTGATCATAGTTTTACACGACATGGGAACCTTCTTTATAAAGACCCAAAGATACAGGGGAAACCACTGAATTTTATGCTTAGATTCAAAGTGTGGGCAGCCATGTAGAAATATGAGTGGGTTAGACGGGTGTAATTAAATGCTGTAGACTGAGTGAGGAAACCCATAGGCCTGTCTGTCCAGGTTCTTCTTGGCCTCTCTCTGCAATATCCTTCCTTCTGGTTGTGGGCAGCGTCCTCTCTGAAATGAGAGTGCTATGACCTACAGTCAAACAAGGTCGGTCAGCTAATTTTTTTAATGGCAATTTTTACACAGAAGGATTGTGAGGATTGGGAGTTAGACTAATAGTTTTAGGTTTTATGGCTGGCTTTGAGGGGGAAAGAGTTCTGATGTCTCTGAGGGATTCTAGTTTCTATGACTAGACTCAGGGCAGAATGGGACTAAGGGATAGGAGGGTAGGAAGTCAGAGGGAAGCTTAAGCTTCTGAGGCTGCTTCAGAGAGCTTCATTTTTAGAGTATTATTTCAAAGGCCCAGCAGGGGTAAGAGAAAAACTTGGAAAATTTTTAAAGAATGATGTTCAGGTATCTGAAATGGTCCAGATAGCCTTTAAGTCTGGATTGTATTCCCTAAGCATTTGTGAGTAGCATGGTTTAGTTGCTTAGATGGAAAGTGTATTGCAAGAGCCTGTGGGAAATACAGAGATGACTACAACGCAGTCGTGTGTGGGTTGATGACAGGACAGGTTGTGAGAAACATGTTACTGGGCAATGTCTTCATTGTGCAAATATCGCAGAGCTCACAAACGAGATGATGCGGCACAGCTGCACCTGGGCTGTCTGATGTGCCCTGTTGTTCCTAGAAGCCAAACCCACATGGCATGCTCTTGCGCTGACTACTGCAGCAGCTGTAACACACTGGTACATTTTTGTGTGTCTAAACGTAGGAAAAGCATAGTAAAAATACTGGGTCATAATCTCATGGACCACTATCGTATATGCCATCCATCATTATCAAATGTCATTATGTGGTGTCTGACTGCACGTCCCTCTTCCTATAGGAATTAATTGAGTAGGAAACAAAATATAAGTACATAACAGCATGAGCATTGCCCTAAGGCAAGACAAGAGTGAAAGGCACTGGACAGTGTCTGCAGTGCTACAAGTCCAGAGTGGGTGGCCGGGCAGAAGGAAGGGCAGTGGAGGGCCTGGGCATGCAGGGGAAGCTTACTTAAAAGGCTGAGTTTATACCTAAGCCTTAAAGCATAGACATAGTTTGGAGAGGCTGATGGTGGCATATCCAGGGATGCTCAGCTAGCTCAGCTGCGGTCTGCCAGACAGGGACATGAAGCAGGGCAGGCCTGGACTGAGATGGGTCTATATTTCAGATGATGGGAGAGATCCTGGGGAATTGGTAAAAACATAGTGTTTAAAGTAGGTGGTAATGCAGGAGAGCAGTGAAATCCAGAGGTAAGAAGAGGGTTATGTCTTAGGTGGGTGTGGTGATGGAAAACCCAGAAGTAGTCACCTCCAAGATATAAGGAGCCAGGAGGCCAGTTCATGTCAGTCGGCAGTAACTTAGTCATCAGGAAACAGCTGTCTTGGAAGGAGATTGCTAAGAAGCAGAGAGACAGTATCCAAAGTGGGATCTCAGGCAAAGTACCGGCTGAGACACGATACAGAGACAAAGTCTGGAAAAGTGAGTGAGGAGGCCATTTTTCACATGGACTGTAAGGCAGAATTGGACAAAGAAATATAGATATGAGTATGGGGAGAATGGAAGATGGGATAGTTTATAAAGTACTTCAAAATACATAGAAATGAAATCAGGAGAATAATTGTTATGAGACGTTAACATCCAAAGAACATTATATTAACTCTGCATAATTTAGGGAACCTGGCATTTACTTCTCATCCTCATGAGTTTTTGATACATGAATTTACTTGTTCATAAATTAATGCTGAAATTATTATAGTACTCATGCCATGATGTTTTTGAAAAGATTTTGTACTCTATAAAACACTTTATATAATGGTATGATTAAAAAAAGAAACTATAAATATCAAGCCCAGTGGCAACTCAGAATTGACCTAAAGCAAATGTCATTCCTGATATAATTTTGATTTTATTTAACTTTATTTCCTCTTAGTGCTTTGGACTTCTAGGGGTGAATGGAGCTGGGAAGAGCACAACCTTCAAAATGATGAATGGTGAGATTTCCCCGACTTCAGGATGTGCTGTCATCAGGACGTCCAGGGGGTAAGATCCAGACTTAAACATTCTCGCTGTCAAAGGAGATGATAATCAAGCACAGAGTCCTCCAGGATTCTCTTAGACCCATGGAACAATGTTTGAAGACACAATTTTCCTCCAAATTTACCTTTCAATGAGCAATTCTCAGAAAGAGAAAAAGAGATCCTAAGTCTGAGTAAACTGAGCTCAGTACTTCCAGCCCAAGTCAAGGGCAGACCAAGCTGTGGGCAGACCTCTCTCAGGCATCAGTGTGGGTCTGAGGTGTGGGCTGGAGGAGGTGGTGTCACACAGCAGCTGCGGGCAGACCTCGGGCATCAGCGTGGGTCTGAGGGGTAGGCTGGAGGAGGTGGTGTCACACAGCCATGGGCAGACCTCTCTCAGGCATCAGCGTGGGTCTGAGGTGTGAGCTGGAGGAGGTGGTGTCACACAGCAGCTGCAGGCAGACCTCGGGCATCAGCGTGGGTCTGAGGTGTGGGCTGGAGGAGGTGGTGTCACGCAGCAGCTGCAGGCAGACCTCTCTCAGGCATCAGCGCGGGTCTGAGGTGTGAGGTGGTGTCACACAGCAGCCATGGGCAGACATCTCTCAGGCATCAGCTGGGTCTGAGGTGTGGGCTGAAGGAGGTGGTGTCACACAGCAGCCATGGGCAGACCTCTCTCAGGCATCAGGGTGGGTCTGAGGTATGAGCTGGAGGAGGTGGTGTCACACAGCACCTGGGGGCAGACCTCTCTCAGGCATCAGTGTGGGTCTGAGTTGTGGGCTGGAGGAGGTGGTATCACACAGCAGCTGCGGGCAGGCCTCTCTCAGGCTTCAGCTGGGTCTGAGATGTGGGCTGGAGGAGGTGGTGTCACACAGCACCTGGGGGCAGACCTCTCTCAGGCATCAGGGTGGGTCTGAGGTGTG